TTTCTTGAAAATTCAAGTGAAAGAACACTCTCTTTTCTATTATCATTCCTGTTTTACAAATGTTTGATAATCAAAGTGTTTTAGTTCAAACATTTTAGATGTTACAGTGAACTAATCAATTTTATTAACTGTAAAACGGTAACAATGATTTTTTAGTTGCTTATGCAAAGTAGAATTCATGTTAAGGCCTGTTACAGATTTTTATGCATTTTCTGATTTCTGTCTTTGAATGAGCAAGTGTGCGTTTTCCAAGGTCAGGAGTCGAAGCAGACATGTGTTGGAACAACTGTCTTGTTTTAAAATCCTCTCAGACGTAAACAGAGGAGTTGGCACCTGTTTCTCCAAACTCGCCAAAATAAAACTCTCTCTGTCTCTGAGAACAGTTTTAATCTGTTCCATAACAATTCTTGCTGTTTTCTGACTTCTAGTAACCTCTTACGTCACAAACCACACCCCTGTCTGGTTGATATTGACCAATCAGGGACTCTCAAATGGACCGGGAATAGAGCTCTTTAAAATGCCAGTACTTCCTGGTTCTCCAGTCTGAGAAGCGCGGAGAAGTTCTGAGATGTTGGCAGTCCTGTGAAGTCGTTTGGGAGAACAGAAGTCCAGCCATGAAAAGTCTCTTCCTTTGGATTATAACATCTTCCACCTCTGAGTGGAACTTCTGAAGGACTCCACTCATGTGAAGTCCACCCGGTGAGGTGAACTGTTGTCGGACGGAATCTCGTCACTACTTCGGACGAGTCCCAGCCATCCTATGGAGACGCTGGACAGGTAGCGTTAACCGGAGCTCCTCTTCTTCTGATCCATCATCAGAGAGGTAATGAGTCAAGTTTTACTACCAAGCGTACCGAGGAAAAGCTGGGTTCGAATGGAGAGTGTCGGTTCTGGTCAACACTCCCCCTCACACACCATCTTTCACTCCCTTTAAACTTCATTTCCATCTTTAAATTCTTCTCTCAAGTAGAAATCCTTCCAGATAATTTAGAAATGTCTGTGTAAAGTGCTCATCCACCGCCGTGTGGATAATTGATCATAATTGTACAGTTTTCATTAATGTCTGTGGTGAAGCAACGGAAAATCATGGCCGTATGGTTTTCCTGGTTGTAAAGCTGATTGATTATGTTGTTATTCTCATATTCTGCCAAATTAATGTAAATGTTTGATGTTAAACTTTGATTCTGTAAAATAAATGACCACATTCATTTTGATGGGTCAAAGATAAATGACGTCTCACGTTACATTTCATTAAATTCAATGCACGTTTTATTCAGTCCAGAAAAATGAAGAATCCGTTTTAATTGATGAATATATCTCAGCATCTGTTCATCTACAACAGTGTGACAATTAGCCCCCATAATCGAACCATGAGAAACAATTTTTTTTCATTATTTTCCATAATGTAATGATAAAAATGAAATTTTCATATATTTCAGATTCATTGCACACCAACTGAAATATTTCAGGTCTTTAATTGTTTTAATACTGATGATTATGGCATACAGCTCATGAAAACCCAAAATGCCTGTCCCAAAAAATTTGCATATTTCATCCCACCAATGAAAGACAAGTGTTTTTAATACAAAAAACGCCAACCTTGAAATAATCATGTTCAGTTATGCACTCAATACTTGGTCGGGAATCTTTTTGCATGAATCACTGCTTCAATGCGGCGTGGCATGGAGGCAATCAGCCTGTGGCACTGCTGAGGTGTTATGGAGGCCCAGGATGCTTCGATAGCGGCCTTAAGCTCATCCAGAGTG